AAGCCGGGGGAGAGAAGTGAGCCGTCACCGTCACCTCTGGCATGTTGTGTCACTCCTGCTCATTTCCATCTCTGCACACAGACGACGGACGAGGCTCTGACAGGTGTCAGAGAGGAGCAGAGCAGGTCTTGTCACTCAGTCACTGAACACACAGGGGGATACACACACTTTGATATACCATGACTATAACTAGAGAGAGGGGGAGGTGTTTCTGTTTCTGCGTGCAGTATATAGAAATAGCAAATGACTGGTGAGAGGAAAAGAGGGAGAAAACGGGAGGAAAGAGACACATGGGTAATGATAAATATGGAGGATACAATCAATATGTAATAATTCTCATAAAAATATCAAGCCCACACAAAAAAGTATAAAGTGTGGTAAAGGGAAGGCATATTTGAACGGCACACTGGGAAAAAGCAACATATTTTTCAAGCAAACATTTAAGAAAGGTAACCAGCATGTTTCATGGACATGTGACTTGTGTCATCTCTCACAAAGCCCTTTTGTAGAGCCGATCTTTGGACATGTCAAAGCACAATAGATGCACTTTAGGCCTACGTTAGCAGAGGCTCAATAGGGACATGTATCTTTTTACCTTTTAGTCCTAAATACAGAAAATGTTAACCATATTACAATTTTTTTAAATTTCAACAGGAATCCTAGAGCCCAGTCAATTGGATATATGTGCTGTGTAATATTTGATATCTGTTGGTTCCATTATTTAATTTACCTGTAATTTATTTGAAGCACTCAATGAAAGTATGTGTCAAATCACCATGCACAATTGCCAAAGAAATTAACAATGATTTTACAAAGAGGACAGCTTAAGCTAATGACTTTGTGTCAGCATGAAGATAGACTTTGCAGATAATGGGTACTTCCAATAAGAGTGCTTTTCATAGAGGGGGTTGTCACCTATGGTAAGAGTGTGTGAGTGCTTTTCATGTACAGTATAGGTCCATGGCATTGGACCATGGACACAGAGGTAGCACACTATTAGCGCACATTACTGGAAATAAATTAGCATGTAATTTAATAATTTTATTAAATGATATTTTGGGGGTCTAAAAGTACAGCTGCTACAATTGTGAGTGAAGTGTTGAGCGGCAGGATTATCATGCATTTATGCAAAGTTAAATCTAAAATGGTTTCTAAAAAGCCTGTGAGTTGAATTTGTACCATCTCAGTGTTGGTAACAATATTAAACAGAACTTGAAAATAACTATTTGGAGTCATATGGTGTTTATTTCAACCCTATATAGACAGTCTAGCTCCACCAATAGAGGTGTCATTGTTCCCCAACTCTAGATTTCAACTAGGGGCTCAGGCAAAATGGAGCTAGACCCCCCATATTTCATTTCTCCCTCGCTGATAGCATTTATCAGCAGTTTCCTGATAAAAACAAAATATGCAACTTAAGCCCGAGCAGGGCTAAGCCGCCGAGGTGGACAGGATTACCTGGAGGCTAGCCGGCACAGGCATCAGATTGTACTGTCATAAAGGGCCATTAGCCTCTTGGCAAACTGTACCTCAAGCCCAAGATGACAGAGCTTTTCAAGACGGACAGGGGGAAAATATGAAACTTAAATACGTCATGACAGACATCTCAATGAATAGGACCCCCAGAAAAAAGTCTCTGCGATGCAAAACAAACATAAAAATATATTTTTTTATGTTAATTTGACACATATGGGAATTGTATTACCAAGTTTGAAATAATCAATTTGCAATGTTCTCCAGTGGATGTATGTATGTATATGAACAGAGGGACTGGGTTTCCACACAACACACAATGGAGTAGACTTACTGACTGGCTGGGATTACATTTAATACAGGATCTTGACAGACATATCCTGGAAGCCTATCGCTCTCTCCGCAGATTTCCTAGGAGAGAAGCTTACATGTTTTTTCTTGGATTTGCCTCATTAATTGGCTGGTTAAGTCCCCTTAATACACGATGATCACTTTCTTGTATGTCTTAAGGCATTTCTTTGAGCTCATATTTCCTGTTACTTTCTTGTCTTAATACTTCACAGCTTTTTAACAACTAAATTAAGCTTTCTAAGGTATGCACATGCTCAGTTTTGTGCGGCAACAAAGTAGGAAGCCTCCATTTTGTGGCAGGGAAAAAGAAGATAGGAAGTTTAATTGTTGGTAGGGGGGTTCTAGACAAAGTGTCCACAGGCAGAGCGAGTATACGGCTAGTTGAGACAGCCTGCATTCTTCCAATGTATTGTCACTTTCTGACAAGTGGAAGAAGAGGTCTTGTGTGTTATCTCTTGGAGGTGATCTGGATTATTTGGTGACACACACACACACACACACACACACACACACACACACACACACACACACACACACACACACACACACACACACACACACACACACACACACACACACACACTATTATAACGTA